AGTTGGTGCGTCGGCGCAAGTGGGTCAAGACCACAGCCGTGGAGGACGTCACGACCGCCATGACGCAGCTTTCCACCGTTGCGGGCATGTCCCTCCGCAGCCACACCAAGCCCTCCGCGTAGAGCCAAACACAAGAACGCAATGGTGGGACTGGTACCCGCATGGTGGGTTTTTTTTGTTTTTAATTGCTGGATTTCTTCATCTGATTTCTGTCGCCAGGTTTACTTTTAGTATTATTTATTTTATTTTCCTTGGGCAAAATAACAACGTTCCTCCGTCTTTGTCCGCCTCGAGCTCCGGCAGCAGCAGCAGCAGCAGATGGCCTCCAGCAGCAGCAGCAGCAGCACGACATCGACGGCAGCGCTCCGTGCGCAAGTTCGCCCCCACCCCACTCTTCCCGGCGAGGTCGAGTTTGTGTCCAAGGATGCCCTCCTCGTACGCCTACCCCCCCTCTCGATTTCTCCCTTCGAGTCCTTGCCCTCGTCCCTGCGCCTTGGCCTAAGTAAGGCCCGTCTATTATGGGGGGAGGCGTTGTTCTCAATTTCTTGCTTGCTCGCTTGCGTGCCTGCGTGTGGTGGGGGGGGGTACATGCAGTCGTTCGACCAAGGCTTCTTCGTGGCGGTCAAGGGCATTCAGTTGCTCCGCCAGCACAACCGCCGCACCACCATTGTTTCCATCGCCGGTACCACCCGCCCTCTTTGGCTTTGACAACATTGTATTGCGGCGGTGCGTGTGTGTGTGCAGTGTGTGTGTGTGCAGTGTGTGTGTGTGTGTGTGTGTGTGTGTGTGTGTGTGTGTGTGTGTGTGTGCGGTGGTGTGTATGCGTCGTCGGTGTGTTATTGGGCGCCTTTGTTGGTGCCCGTGGGGTGGCTGCTGACCGGAGGCGGGTGGCTGTGGCAGGGCCATCGGGTGCGGGCAAGACCAGCATCGCCAAGAAGATAGCGGAGGTCATCCCCAAGAGCCTGTACGTGCACGATCGCCTTCCCGTGCGCCTGTGGTGGCAACAGCGTCGTCAGTCTGTTCTCCCCCGCTCACGGTGGCGGTGCGCGTGGGTGCGTGAAGGGTGGTGTCGCTGGACAACTACCTCGATGGCTCACGCGTGGTGGAGGAGAACTACGACGACTACCGCCTGGTCGACTTTGAGCTGCTCGTTAAGAAC